CCTTGAGATTTCCATAGACTCCAAGGGCTGCATAGAAGACATTTACAAGTAGTTCAACATGCATTACAAAGATGGTCATTCATTACAAAGTAAAAGCCTAGTACATCACACTAAGTACATCAACATGGTAGCATTCAAGTTCCTAGCAAAATCTGACTCCTAGATGTCTCAAAGTATGATTGTTCAATGAGTAGTTGCATTCTTTTTCTTGATTGTTGGAGCAACATGAAGTGTGATGTGCTTGAGCTTCTAATCCTCAAGGCTGCTCTTGGTTCTTGTCCTTCTAAGTTTGCCCCCTTGGACTTGGCAATTGTCAATGATGGGAGAAAAATGCTTGTAATTAAATATCTCCTCAATCCTCTGTTGATCAAAGCTTTCATCGCGCTTGACCATGTATGAATCCATATTTCAATTGTTGAAGGCAAAGAATCAAACAAGATTATTGGAATGCAAGAAAAGAAATAAACATGGATGCCAAACAATAGATTAAGGATGAAGGAACATAAATATGCCCTAAAGTGATCATGTGTGTGAAGTTGTATCCTAAAGCATGCATTTTTGGGAATGCAAGAAAAGAAACAAACATGGATAGGAAATGAGAGATAAAGGATGCAAGAATATAAATATGCTAACAAGTGGTAATGTGTGTGAAATTGTATCCTAAAACATGAATTTTCTTCATTAAGTATGCCAAGTAAATTTCAAAGGAAAAGTTGACGATTCATTATTGCAACCCATTAAATTGGCATTCATAGGAAATATCATTCCTTTGAAAAGAAAGCACATGCCATGAAGCTTGAAGAAAAAGTGAATGGTGTGATACTTGGAGAAAAAGGATGATGTGATGCTCCAAAATCATGTGCTCCAATTATTTTGATGTCTAAAAGATGGACTTTTCATGAATTTATCTTGGAAGAACCTTTTTTTTTTTTTATGCAATTTTTATAAAGTATAAGACAATGAAAGATAGTAATGCTTGAAATGAAATGGAAGATGGAAGATGCAATGCAAACTGTAAGTGAATGTTCATTTTCATTTTTATGCACTTGTTTTTGAACTATGACATGGAAATCGTGGTGGTTGGAATGAAACATGTGATGAAAAGTGAGATGTGAAATGAACATGGGAGAAATTTTCATTTTCATGCCCCCTCTTTTTTTTTCGAAATATAATAAGATGAAGAAATATGAGAAGAAAACTAGCACTATGAATAAAATTTTCATTTTTTTTTTCATTTTCACCATTTTTATTTTATTTTATTATTTTTTTTTTTGCAACTTTTATGAATATGGGAAATATGAGATGGAGATAGTAATGCTTGGAATGAAATTTTGGGATAGAAAATGTAGTGTGAAATGCATGTGAATGAGAATTTTTTTCTTTTGTGCAATTTTTATATGAGATGGAACATGTAATGTACTAAACATGGGTGGAATTTTACTCTCTTTTTTTTGCAATTTTTTTTGTGAAACATGAGATGAAAATGAAATTTAAAATGAACAAAATGGAGAATGTCACATGAGATGAACATGAAAATATATTTTGCAACGCATGAGATGGAGAAGGCAATGCAATGGACATATGGCATGAAATTTTCAAGATATATGGAAGATTTAATGTGAAATGAGTAAGATGGACATATGACATGTGAAACAATCATGAACCATTTTTTTTTTTATGCATGGGGTTGAAAGTGAAGATACAAAGTGCATGGAATGCTCATTACCTCAAGAATGATGTCTAAATGCAGAAGATGAATAACTAATCATACCTCAGATGCATATAAGAATAAAAACCTGTCATGTGTGGAGACAAAGTTAGTGAAGAAAAATACCCCTTGTGTCTTAGACACGGGATTCCTAACCTCACGGGTGGGATGCTAAGGGAAACATGTCTTAGGGTTGGTATCTCTCTAAGGCCACTACATGTTTTCCTAAAGGGCATTAGGCCTTCTCAACCATTTATCCTTTCGGAATCAACGGGAGATATTTCCAAAAACTAATACACAGAATGATATTACATCATCAGGTGTCGTATTAACCAATGGAAACAACCTAATGGGAACCGATCTTACTCCTCAAAGCGGGAAGAATTGCTCTTCCAAGCCAGATTCATAAGGATTCCAGACTAGAGGTCGGGTTCACCTCCGACACGAACCTAATGCAAAATGAGAGCGAGTGTGTGCAAGGGGCATGACACTTCAATAACCTGCATAATGACAACCAAAAAAATAGCAACATATATCCCACAACAAGTATATAAAGCAAACAAGCAAATAAAACATGTAAAGCACTCAACAAATATATCACCCACAAACAAAAACCTACTTACACAAAAAGAAGGGACTCACCTCGTACTCCCATGCCAAATGCAAAAAGTTAGTACATCCACATACAAGCAAGTAGGCATGTAAGCATGATGCATGATGAATAAGCATGTTATATCAATGATGGATGAGCATGTGAAATGATATGATGCATGAACATGTAAGCAAGGTATGATGCATGTCAAGATATAGCAGGATAACTACTCAAAGACAAAAACAATCAAAGTAACCACTAAAACAATGAGCAAACAAGCAATAAGCAACAAACAACACGCAACAGGCACATACAATAAATAGCAAAGATCCACAAAAACTCAACAAACAAAGAAAAATCAAAAGTTGAAAATTCCCCAAAGTTAAAGTATTAGCTCAACCCTCGTGAACCCAGAATATGGAAACCAGAGATTTTGGGTTCAATTGTCCCCAGTGGAGTCACCAAACTGTTGACGACCACTTAAAAATGGGATTAAGTGTGAAAATATAAAAAGAAGGAGTCGCCACTCATCCAAATTATAAGGTGGGACAAGTCACCTAAAACGGGTCTGCGCAAAGATCAGGGTTCGGGGGTTCGGTTAGGAGTGAGGAAGGGCATACGCGCACCTCACAATCCTCCGTTTAAACACGGTTGCATACTTTAAAATTGGGGTTTTGATTCAACTTATTAATTATGTTTGTATTTAAGTCTTAATAAGCAACTTTGAAAAAGGGATAGACCAAATTGAAACATTTTTAAAATTTTTGGACTAAAATTGACAAAATCAAAGACAAGCATGCATCCTAAGCACAAATAAAATTAAAAGGACCAATTTGATTAAATTTGAAAACATGAAGGACTGACTTAAAAAGATTTGAAACTTTAGGACTGAATTGCTTAATCATAAAACTTGTGGATGAAATTGAGATACAATAAAAGATAATTTTGACTTTGACCAAGATTAAAGTTAATTGAAAATTGAAATTAATTAATTGAGATAATTAGTCTAATTAAATAATTAACTTAACATTAATTAAAATTAATTAAAATTAATTAATCACATTTACTCATCTTTAATTAAGATAATCAAATAAATTTAATTATCTCAAATTAAATTTTAATAAATATGATTAATTTATTTTAATTAAAATTAATTAACTTCATTAATCATAAATTAAACTAACTCACCTAATTAATTAATAAAAACTTATATATATATTTTTTCTTTTTAACATTTTTTTAGTTTTTTTTTTAGGTTGGGTCGGGTTCCGACCCACAAAAATATAACCCATCAACTAAAACAGGCAAAAACAGATCGAACCCAAAAAAAGAGAGTTTATTTACGGTTCATCATTTTCAAAAGAAAGAACACATTCATCAACGAAAAACAAAAAGGAAAGCACATTCATCAGACAAAATGAACTGAACATTTTTTTTATCTTTCATTGATTTTCAATAAACATATACAAACGTAAACATCACAAAAGCATGTCACGGAAACAGAAAAGCAAAAGAAGCAAACACGGCGGAGCTTTTTGGGTAACAGATCGGAGTCCGATCTGACGGATCCCACCCACGAGATCAAGCCAGATCATTCCCCTCACTGCCTCCCCAAAAAGACTCCTCTGTTGCAGGAAAATACCTAAGATGAAAACCCAAAAAATGCAGAATCTTGCTCAGCTCAGTGACCCTCCCGCTGTTCTCAAGCAACACCCCAAACTCAGACCAAGGGATCCACCACCAGAACCACCAAAAACCAAAAAAGGACCCAAATCTTCTCCCAAATCACCGGCTCCCTCTAGCAAAATTCCTCTCCTTTTCTGTCGCCGTTCTCAACACCCAGACTCAAAAACAAAAGACCCCCCCCGCCGTCAACACCAGAACCACACAACAAAAGACTTCCTTCAGCTCCAAGAGGAACCCGAAAATCAACCAGCAAAGTCCCCAAAATCAAACTCCAAAAACACTCCCCAGCCACCGACCCGAAATCAACCCCCCCCCCTTTTCAATCTGATTTTTCTCTATATATATACCCGAATAAAATATAAAAATAAAGCTAAAAATAATAAAAAAAAAAGCCTTGCTCTGTCAATCAATATTAATGCTAATTTGTCTAGAGCTGCTGTAGCGTGCAGAGGCAGAGCAGCAGGGGTGCAGCAGGGCTCGGTGCAGGGTCATGATGCTGGTACAGGGTGCAGGCGTGCAAGCAACGTGGGTTCGGCGCAGCAGGCGGCAAGGGGATTTGGTGCAGAGGAAGGCTGGCGCAGGGCAGAGCTGGAGATTGATGCAGATTCGGTGCAGAGCAGGTGCAGGAGTGATGATTGCGCGGGATCTGGGCGCAGGAGGCACGTCGGGCGCAGAGCAGGGAGCAAGGGCGCAGGCTGGTGCAG